CAACCATGGTATGGACTTGATGATGTTTTAATTTAGCTACACTGTTTTAATATAACAGTGAAAACTGAACACAGAACTTAATTTACTTATTTCCTGTAAAAACAGAAGCAGACATGTATGTTTTCTTGTGAAGGCAAATAATAAAATGGTGCGATGGAGCTTTGCAGGGCCTGTTTGAATCAGATCACCTAGTGGGATGTCAGCAAAGCACCTAGAAAAAAGAACTTCTGAATAGGTACCTGCACTCTGATATTCTTCCTCTCTCTGCAAGATCTTTTAAAAATCACTGTTCGAAACAAAACCCAAAGACTCTGTGTTCACTCGGGCCCTTGTTTAAGCAGCAGGATGAGCCCTCTCTAAAGCAGGGTCACCCCGTGAGGAGACGACATCTGCCAGTGTCTGGAGCTGCACAGCAGGGCCTCGTGGTTGTGCTAAGGATGCACACGCTCACCCCACACACTTGTCTTAAAGTTGTAGAGCTTGTGGCTTCATTAACGTGTGATTGTTTTAGAGGACGGATTTTTGACCTCTCTGATTCCAAGCAGTGTAACCTGTGTTCACACAAACGCTGAGGTCAGTCCCCAGAGCAAGAAAAGCCTGCGGGCTAAACACAGAGACAGGCAGAGAGGGCTACTAGAGATTAAGGAGCAGGTCAATGATGGAAGTGGGACCACAGACCAGCCTTGTGATGGCCACAACGTGAACAGCTTCACTGGAGTCCTGTGGATGCTCACGTATATTCAGTGAGAAAAGTTTCACCCTTTATACCCTTACCTGATTCAATTTAACTCTGTTAGCACTGCTAATACTTGAGCCCAAGAAAAGCCCTTGATATTTTAAGCACCGTATCAATCAGATGTACTCAAAGCAAATTATGTAAGATGATGAATAAAATACCAGTGCCCTTTCTACCACAATATTTCCACTGTTCTTAATATCAATAGAGTTCAATTTATTACATTAGTATCAGGCAAGCTTGTCAAAAAAATCACTTTGACCAACATAGCTTTACTTATTTCTGGTATCCTATGTTACACAACAGAAACACAAAACAATATGAAACACAAAATACACGGCTGTGTTTTTCAATTCTTAGGAAGGTAACGCGTTTGTTAAATAAACCAGGCATGACAAAAAACTCCCAACATCAAAGCTGACATAAAGCAGTGTAAGTCTTTATTACTCATTGGAATTCTGTTATCACCAATACACCTTTCCTTCAAACACTTGTCCCTCCTTTGCCTCTCCAAGGAAACACTACGCACTGCTGAGCTTCCTGAACTCCTCCTCTGGATTTCTATCCCCCTTTATCACAAAATCCTGCCGCAGCTTTTGTTGGTTCTAATGGAGTCATATAGAGCATTACTGCTTCTCTTCCCTGTTTTCTGCCTTTCAAGAGCAAACTTTGTGGAACACCAATTACAAAGAGCTAGCAATACAGCAACCCTTTTAAAACCCATAATACATAACATCAGCAAGCAAAAGCGAATTTTCACAAGATATTTTTTACTACCTTGTGGGCCAAGCAGACTCAGATTCTTTTTCAAACAGCCAGTAAGTTACTGTCTTCTGGCATCATTATTCATTATGACTCACCTTCCCCCAAAGAAATTTTGTAATCATTTAGCAACCAGATAGAAAGATTTACCTAATCTTCCATCCTGTAAATCTTGACAGCAAGACTTACCAGATCTGTTTATTAGAAATAAAAAAAAGGCCTTTGTAAAAATCCTATAAAAGTTGGTTATGCAACTGTAGCCTTAAAGGCTGAATATTCATTAAGACATTAAGGACCACAGTTAAGAGAATGCCTTATTATATAGTGTCAGCAGACACTTCTTTCTGATCTTTCCAAACCCACTAATTATTCAAAATACACTCTGCCTATCGGGTCATTATAAAGATTAAAAGAAATCATATATCATTATATGGCATAATGTTAAACATGCAAGAGAAAAAGCATGAGCCATGTTGTAATTGTGGAGAAATATGAACGGTTTGGGGCTACTCCCTTGTGTGGAGAAAAATACACTAATTAATGTTTAGGTTAAGCTCAATTAACATCTAACCAAATACATTCTTCAAGCATTGCACATTGAGACCTTGCCTCCCAGAAGGAAAAAAATACAGAAAATAGATAGTCTTGCATCATCATGTAGCCAACATGTGCAAAGCTATGTGCATGTTATTCAGATAAATCTTTTATTCAAAAAATTGTTTATGGAGTGATCTAGTAACTATACAGCATACCTCTAAGTAAACTTTGTAAACTATAGTTGTTTTAAAGATGGAATAATATAGTCTGATCTTTCCTGACAATGTTGGCATGGTTATTTAGCAACATGGGAGAAGTCTGGAATTAAGATTTTTCAGTTGTGATTGAATTCGAGTTTGACATTTAGAATCCAAGTCAACTTTTTACTAAAAAGAAGTGGATACCATTACAGTTCATATCCAGTGCAAAAGCACTGGATGTAAAACGCTAGAGACATGCAGATCTATTATTCTGAAAAATACATAATACATCATAATACATAAACTCCATACTGCATGGTATATTACTGTAGCTACCACACATACATAGGGAAATAGTTTGTCATAGAATCATAGATTCTATGATCAGAGATTGCAAGTGCTTTTACATAGTTTAAGAGCATTAAGGAACTTTTATGAGGGGTATTATCTGTAGAGAACCAGTTCTACCTAGTGTTGATTAACTTAATGAGAAGTTTCATGGCTATTTCCTTCCTTTATGTGTAAATTTGATAGTGTTAATATTAGCTTTTGTGAGAAACTGCTTCAGCCTGTTTCAGTGCCAAAATGTTTTTCCTTAACAAATTATCCAAACCAGATCCTATGAATCAAAGTAGAATAATCTTCATATGACAATGAAATAATTGTTATAGTTTTGTCTGAGGGGAGAGGAAAGTACTTACTTTTTAACTGGATTTGTTAGGGCCTCTGCACAAGACATCTTCTTAGGTGGACTATGCTAATAAAAGCTCAGAACGAAGAATTCTGAAACACGAAGCACTAGCTCATAACCAAGACAATGACTGCTGTAAGAAAAAAAAGGAGAAAACACTTTTTGAGACTTAAATGGCTGTGTTTATTTTCAGACACTGACAATTCTTATTTAATATCGACTAGCTGAAGATCTGTGAGGAAAGAACTTGGGCGGAAATCCACATACTTCATTGCTAAAACATGACACAACTAACAACTCGGACTGACTATGTGCTATACCAGAATATCTGGCATCCCCAATTTCTCTTAAATTATGGGTTTGTATACAGGAGTAAACTCAAAACCCCCGTGATCTAAATATTCTGAAAAATCCACTAATGGAGATTATTTTATCAGAGGGAACTCACATTTTGTGCAAAAGACAAAATAAAGAGCTTTGATTTTCTTCTAACAAAGGTTATTGCCAGAGAGAACTTTGTTATGAACAAAATATGGTGCCTTATTTCTTGTCCTTCTTTTCACTGAAAAAAAAGGCTCAATGTCTATATTCAGCACCAGATACACTTATAAATTCTTAAGTCAAGTTTGTAAGGCATAAACCAAAAAGCATACCAGATGCAGCCACCTATTACAAAAATGTATTATCTATACTGAAAATGTATAAAGCAGTAGATTGTATCATTATCTATACAACAGACCCACAAGAAATACAACATTTGAGCTACAACAAAAGGTAGCTATGCACAAATAATCTGTTTTTACCAGCAGCGAATCTTCACAAGCTGTTTGGTTAAATCCTCAAACAGCCAAGAACCAGACGACTCTCCAAGGGGCACAAGAATTGCTCTAAGTGCCCCGTGGGCAGCAGAGACCCACGGGCGCTCCCGTTATCCGCGACAGAACGGGGCTAAGCTGGACTCAAGCAGGCTGCCCCGGCTGTTTCGGGTGCATCGGCCTTCACAACCGCCCGCTGAGCGACTGATGCAGGTTGTACTTTAGCTAGACGGGACCGGCAAACGCAGTCTGCAAGAATACAGGGCTTTTTTAGCAGCAGCTTGCAGTAGATGTTTTCACGTCTCTTGCTAAAGGATCAGAAATAATGCAATATAGGGAGGGAAATTTGCCCTGCTGCTTCATTCCAGGCTTTGTTGTTTCACTGTTCATCCCATCTAAGTGAAAAACGACACCGCGAAGCTGCGGCAGGAGCTGCTCAAGCCACCATGGGGCTCAAATTACTAGAGTCGGCCAAGAGGGAAAAGCAACGCTCCACAGCCTGCTCCAAAGCCGGACACCAGAAACGTTACATCTGCCAACTTCCCTCTATTTACCCATTCTGAAACAAATAACTGCTGTTTACAAACAGCTTCGAATTACTCTGCAATGTATCAGTATTTTACATCTAAGCAGAGCAAAACGAACAGACAACCAGGGGAAGTTAAACATTAGCCAGGGCACTGCTTGGTGGGGGGAGGTGGAAAAAGAAAAGGAACAAAGACTGGGACGGTGCCCATAAAATAGAAAAACGGGGGCAGTGTCCTTAAAATAGACAGGACAGGAATAGACAGCAAGAAAAAGGGTGGAAGTCACTCGGCTGTTAAAATACAGTGATATCAGTGTATGATGCCTAAATGAAAGAAGCGTCTGAGTGAAGGGCTGTATTAAAACATCAGGAGCGCATGCATGGAGAAAGAAACGAAACAAAACGAAAACTAGAACGAAGTAAAACAAGCAAAAACCGCCCAAACTTCACAGCGCTCCGCACACCGGCTGCCAGGGCGGCTCGCGCCGCTCCCCTTCACCCTT